AACTGATTAATGTCTGTCTTTAGCAATGTTTTTGCCGTCAGTTGGGAAAAAAATCTGGACAACAACATGATTGGCTTCACTACATCTTCTGGCAATAGGTGTTGAATACCCACATGAAGTAGGCATTGCATAAACACATGGCAGTCATGGCTCTTTCGTCCAGCAAATTTACCTCCATCAACATTCACGCAACGCGTGATATTAGAAGCATACTCATCGGGAAACTTTACAGATGATACAAACTTTAGAAACTGTTTTTTGTCATTCGGTTTCATGGAAAAAAATGCAAGATCCCTTCTAGCTTTATCACTGTCCCTATTCATCCATAAACCCCTTCGTATGCCCATTCTTTCCAAATCAAGACGAGCTTTGATCGTGTCCTTTGTCTTGCCCTCGATATCTAGAATCGTGCCCATCAATGTGTCAAATACATTTTTCTCAACATGCATAACGTCGAGATTGTTCCTCAATTTTAGTTTCGACCAATATGGGAGCTTAAAAAATATATGCTTGTGCATCCAGTTCATATGTGTAGAACTGTTTTCACAAACGGAGCAAAATCCAAACGGTTAAGCTGTTCCAAGATCTGATCATCGGATCATTCTCTGTGTCTAGGCGATGCTCTGTGTTCCCGTCGAACTCTTTATCCTTTTCCCGCCACTCATGGTCCCATGACAACTATCTTCGATGACCAAGGTAACAAACTTTTCCAGTGTGCCAACCAAAAGTTACATCTTCTTTGCATACAGTGCATGCCATATAACACTTTGTGCTCCATCTAGAAACTATTGCATATGCGGAAAAATGATACACATTCCATATAATTGCTGCCTGCAAAGTGAACATCTTCGCAGTGGATTTATCGTTCGTGCGCACACCGTTTATCCATAAATCCTTGAGCTCATCAACCAACAGCCTTAAGTAAACATTAATTGACCTGCCAGGATCCTCAGTTATCAAAACAGTCATCATCATGTATTCTTTTTTCATGCATTTCTAAGGCAACAAATTATATGGGAATACAAAAATCGGCCAAGTGCTGTGGTGTTGGTTTAGAACCCTGTACGGATTGAATCCATCAGTGGCAAGTCCCAATCTAACATTTCGGGGATCAACAGCAAATTTGGGGAATGTTCGATCGAACTCTTTCCATGCCTCCCCATCTGCAGGATGCCACACCACATCGTCGTCTACCCGTTTTTTCTTATGCCATCTCATGTCTGTGGCAGTATGCGTCGACATATACAATCACTACAACCTAGGTTTTGAGGGGCAGATAACACATGATTTTTTGTGGGATCTTAGTCATTCTATTTTGAGATTTCATTTTGAACCTCGACTCATTGCATAATGGGCCTGTATCCAATGTTTCATACTCTTTGTAGAATAAAATACAATTGTTTTTTCAAGCGTGAATTTTTCCTAACTTAATCCAAGGCCATTCATAACCTAATCCAAGACCATTCAACACCTTTTTCATAACATTTGTTCTCTTGAAAACCCCCAAAAAGTAATTGAAACACAGGTTCGACATACGATACTTTATTTTTCCGTGCATTAGCTCCATAATGGCCATGAGAACGGAAAATCTCTCGCACCCCGATTATAACTCTTGGTTGGCATTTTTTAATAGTTTTTCATATTGTCCGAACTCTGCATTATCCATTGGTGTAGGCACGTCATCTTCCCCTTCCTGATTGATGTTTGTCGATGCAAATGGAAATGCATCATTTATAATATCCATGACTTGTTCATTAGGATCCACAATAGGTCAACATTGTCCACTCTTGTGGCCTTTGAAGACGAAGAATTGTCTAATTGTTTCCCGTGATGGTTCCAAGTGTTATATATCTCAATCATTCAATTCCTTACTAAATGAAATTGAACATTTTCAATTGTCTCTCACAACGTGTTGTTACAGCTCCTACAAGGACACCAGATTCTAATTGCACCTGGGTTGTGTGTACGTGCAAAGTCAATAAAATCATTGATTCCATCCAAGTATTCGTCTGCGCATCTATTCAGGTTTTGTATCCACCTCCTGCTCATAATTCCTGGAACCACAATCACAATACAGCAATCACAACAACTTCATACAAAATCATAATGTCGCCTTATGCCTCCGGTAAGGGCCATATTCCATTCGGGAATGCATAGTCATGTCACGTAATTTATGGCTATATAAGATTAGATTTCGACGTGGATGAATTTCGGTAGCATCTCGATACAGTTCTTGAGGTGTACCGTAGGTATAAAATACCTATGTACCACCCGAAAAACGTATAGAGATGACACCGAAATCTCCACAACCGAAACCTAATCCTATAGTCGTAAATTACGTGACATGACTATTTATTCCCAAACCATCCAAATAATGGGACAATTCAAGAATTAATTGGACCACAATCATGCTTTCGCATCCATGTGCAAAATCCAACTAATCCTCGAACGGGAAACTAAGTTTTACTATAAAAAAAAAAAAAAAAAAAAAGTACAAAGTTAATTGAAAAATTAACTTCGTACATCACAACACATTGTTCTACGTCACGCACAATTTAACAACATAGTATAAATATAATTTCACAAAACAATATAAACATAACAAACTAAGTTTCACATAATGTAATTAATTTTATATTTTTAAAATATAAAACGAAGAAAATACATTCTCAATCGTTCTCCACCAATCGCTAATCACACATAGACAACGAAATTAATGGTGTTAGTATGAATTTACATTAATACTTTTAAACTAACAACAAAAAATACTTACCTAATGAACGTAGCAAATTCCCAGCACAGAGAGAGGCAGAGGTAGAGGCAATCTGCAATTTTTTTTGCAGTTTGCCTCTGCATTGGCTGAATACATATTATATATTTCACGAAGGATTTTGCGCGACGAAAAAGGATTCGTCGCTCAAACTTGTGTCGCGCAAAAGATAATTTCGTCGCTCAAAAACTCATTTTCGTTGCACAAACGATCACTTTCGTCGCGCAAAATACCATTTTCATTGCGTAGGTACGTGTCGACGTCAAACTTTACGTGATGAGAAAACAATTTCGTCACTACACACTTTCGTCGCGCCAATGCTCAATATCGTCACGCAAAAGACCATTTTTGTCACGCATGAACGTGCCGACATCCAACACACGATGATTGAGACTGTTCATCGCGCAAGTGTTTGGAGCCAGATAAAATAAACTCGCATTTTTCTTACTCGACGATAACGTGTATTGTTGCGCTAAGTGTTCTTTCGCGACGATAGCTTTCATCGCGCAAGTGTTTGGCGCCAAATAAAATAACTACGGAAATCTTAAAACGTAGTAGTGTTCTAAAGTTTCAATCAGGCCCTGTGATGGATCTTTGATACAAAATGTTAAGAACTAAATTTTTTTGTAAAATGTGCAAGAATTGGAGAATGATCATATTTTATTAAACAACTAAGTTGGCTTTTAAATAGCCTTACAAGATAACTGAAGAAGTGCAGCCCACATTTAACAACCCTAATAACGTGGTAAGTGGCTAAGGAATAGGTCAAATAAACAACATTTCCCTTAACAATAAGGATTATTAACAAAGCAATAACAAACTGTCAAATTCAAATCCTAACAACTAAAACACTAACAACTTTAACAAAACCAAATGCCAAAGCAAACAAATTGAATTGAGGGCTTAAGGACTAGGTTATGATAACTCTTATCTAGATTTCTCAAGATCTGGTAAGAGTGTCTAAAGTTATTGGTAATCTATCATTTGAAGTCCTTAAGAACTAGGCTATGAGAACTCTTATCTAGGTATTGCCACCGCTAATGGGACCTCTACCCAAACAATATCACCACTGGTCCCACTTTTGACACCATACTGTCTGCTATGACTGCTACAATTACCACCAAACCCCTATCATAGTCAATACTACCCTTATGATTACAATCATCGTGAAACCCACGATTATCAATACAAGCATCACCATAATCACAATTAGACCCAAAACCCATAAAAAATTGTTAACATACAACAATAAATCTTATTCACAATTGATGACACCTTGCCCAGAAAAAAAAAAAAAAAAAAAACAGCTAGAAAAAACATTGGACACTTACCTCAATTTCTATATAAATCCAAAAGATATATTTATAAATAAAAAATAATTACGACTTACAATTCAATACCCAATTTACCTTTAAATCAAATTAGGTGTATAGTAATTGATTTGTAAGAAATTTATCTAAATCACACATACACCCGTTAGAATGAGACAGAGAAGAGCAAAAGAGTTTTTACCTGTAACAAAGAGATTGAGAGTGTTCGCTAATATGCTAGGCAATGGACAAGAGGTTGGGAGAGAGAGAGAGAGAGAGAGAGAGCGCAATTCAAAGCTAGAGCAAAGAGAGTCAGCTCATGTAACAGTGCCCTTCTTTTCCTTTCCTTTTTCTTTTTCTTTTTTCAACTGGGGTTGAAGCCAAAGAGCGATATAGAGCTAGAACGAGAGCGAAAGAGAGCCAGCCTGTGCATTACACCCGTTTTTAGCCTTTACTTTCATTTTGTGTAACTAGGGTTGAAACTTTATATTTTAGTGTACTTGTCTAAAATACTATAATGTAATGCTATATGTGTAAAGTTGTGTTGTAATGTATAAATTATCATCATCTACATAATATTTTGAGCTTTAGCACACTGCTTTCAGTTCATTCCGTTGCAAGCTTCTAGACTTGATCAAGTGTGAGAGGGTCTTTGGCTAAGACCACACCTATGTCCAAGCTCTTCCTTGTTTTGCAGTGCAACGAAATGGTAATCCAACCAAAGTAGTACAAGATTGAATTTGTATTTTGGTTATCGTAAAACAATGAGAGTATCTGATTAATGAATCTTGTAAAGTACATATCTGTTTTTTCAAGCAAAATAAATTAAATTAGTCACATAAAGATACATGTTATACCATATAAAAGAATTGGAAAAAATAGAATGAATAACTTTTTCTAAACCTACATTATTACATCAAGAGAGTAAATCTCTTATTAGGAGCATAAGTTATTTTTATGTGACAAGAGTTAGTATGAGCCCCTTTTGAGTGACCAATAAAATGGGATGAATTTACGTCGACAATAGATCTTGAATGCGAATGTTTAACCTCCTGAGCCAAATAGAGTGCACAATCATGTGGAAAACATCATATCTCTTAGGGGGTCCATTCATCAAAAAATGTCGTTGCACTTGTTTCAACCTCCTTTGCATTCTGAGGTATTGTCTATTGGATATGCTCATCAATATGTTCTTCATGTCAGATATATTCTTGACTGGCACTTGCACAGAAAATGACTTCCAATCCAACACATCACTAAAAGGTGGAATATAGCCATCTGAAATCAACACGGGGACGCACTCGGCATAGATTGCTTCTACCACCCTTGGACTTGCTACTTCATACCCACTTGGGCATAAGCAAAACTTGCTGCTCTTCATCATTTCTTCATAGGACACTCCGTGAGGAACTTTTTCATAGACTAGCACATCTTGGTCTTTCCCTTTCCATTCATTTAGAAGAAGGTACCTAATATGGCCATGCAGACCGCCTGCAAAGAAAGCTAGTGTGGATCGTTTTGATGGAGGCTGACCACCAAGCCTTGGGATTTCCGGTGTTAGAAGCTTAATTTCTGGAAGCGACGCATCTTTAGAGGGATTAAATCCTTCGGAAGTATTGGCATTGCACAAAACCCTAATAGACTTGTGGAATAAATGGGGGACAAATGCAGTTGTAAATGGCCCCTGTAAAAATTAATAGTGCATCAAGAAATTCATTTAATATTGTTCAACTTCTTTAGCTAATCAGAAATAATGTTCTGATAACTTTTATTGTGTGCCACGAATCCTATAATAAGGGACCAAAGTGATACCACATAAATTCAAAGATATAAGAACAAAGAAACAAAGAGGGCAAATAAACTTAATCAGACAAATACCAAATAAATAAATAAATAAACTTAATTCATAAATATGATTATATATGTACACACTTAAAATATGAGTAAATTGTCGAAATTCTTCCTGAATTTATACATCTCTCAATTTTCCTCATGAATATTTTTTTCTTATAGAAAATTAAGGATCCGAACTAATCAATTCACTTCATGTTTCATCCAATTTCTAAGGAACAAAGTCATGTGACATACACGTGTAACTTTAAGAGGTTATGAATAAATGGTATACTTTATTGATGATAACAATCACAGGATCTCAGTGTTATATACAAGGTTCTATGCTCCCAATAAGGTAAAATATAAGCAATTACCGACATGGTTGATGTAGAGAATCAATCCTGATCAACTATTATTGGAAGGACAACAAGACACAAATAATGGTTGACTTTGGTGGAGGATTGCAGATGAAGAGGAAGCAATTGACGTTGATGATGAGGTGATTTCCTTTGATGAAGGACATTCCCTTTTATAACTCTCTCACTTGAGGGAAAATTTGTCACTTCGCTGGAGCTACCCATATGCATGCTACTGGGGCTTATGAGGCTGGCGATACTGAGGATGAGGGGCCTGGCAATATGCAACTGTTTTATAATTCTCTCTCTACGCCATCTCTCTCATATTCTCTCTATGCTTCTATTGACACCATTATTTTATTGTTGGGTTTGAATACCAAGTCTAAGATGCTCCTTCTCCTCCTCCTATATGACCCCCTTCTTCGCCTCCGCCTCCACCGCCACCTCCATAGCCATTTCTAGAAACGAGTCCTCTGCCCTCTCATCGACCGCTCCTAGGAGTTCCTTGACATCTTTGTTTTCGGTCTCGCCCAACAGGTTGAAAGAGTTGGCGAGAATTTGGCCATGACTATAACAATGTTCTTTAGGGTTTCTAACTGATGCTATGAGCCTATGGTCAAAAAAGTGGGGAACAAGGTTTGACAAATTTGCTCTCCAAAGTCGTGTGATATGCATGTGACTCTATTTGAATTTGCTCTCAAGAGTATCATGGTATGCATGTGATTCTATTTGATGGAAAACTAGATGAAATGTGTAACACATTAACGGTGAGAAGGACATTGGCTAAATTAATTAGTTCAGATCCTTAATTTTCTAGAAAAAAAAATCATGAGGCAAATTGAAAATAAGGTACTAGCTAGTTCAAGTTGGATTTCGACAATTTACTCCTTAAAATATTATAGAAATCTTTCATTGGTTTCATGATATCCTTTTATTTTTCCTTTATCAAAGAGAATATAGTGATAAGGCGGCTGGCGCCTGGTTTCTCTAAACCACAAATTGTAGTGGTCCTCTCCTCCTATAAATGCAAAATGAAACCGACATGCAGAAGACAAAATAAGAAAAGAGGAGCGTCAGGATGTGGTAAGTATGGGTCGTTATATATTAATTTGGAAGGCCGACAGTAATTTTAATTCTAAGGGATAAAACTCAGAAAAGAAAGGGTTAGTGATTTTGACTCATTCTTTACCATCACTCACTTCAAATGTGCACACAAAGAAAAATTGGAAGAAAAATTTGTTAAGTATATATTCAATTTGGAGTGCACACAACGAAAAAATAGAAAGTGAAAATTAAATATATTACTGGAAAAATTGTGTTATGCGTACCCAATCGTGACAAGATAGCATGAAATGATCAGCGCCGAGGCTTCGGTTCCAGAAAGGATGCTTATGAGCAATGAGATTAATGTAGTCGATGACAGCAAGCTTCAAGCCATTTCGATCATATGTGTCAGGCAAATACAGGAACTGAACCATTCTAACCACACTGAAGGGAAGGAAATAGACAAGTGCCTGATTTGGGTCTGTTGTACGGTACAATTTACCATTCTCCATCTCATGAATAAACCTGCCTTCTGTTAAATACATATGGAAGCATGGACCGTCATGAAATATTGGGACCTGTCCTTCTTCGTAAACATATATCTTGAACAACTTCTCCATCTCTAGGTAACTCCTACATATGAATTATTTATAGATCGAGTAAGATTAGGACAAACGATTCTAGTAACATAAGATGATAAAATGTAAATTGACTACATACTAATTATGTTTAATTTTATTTTGTTGCACGATATGTATAATTTGACAACGTAAGTATTTGTTTAACATTAAGTAGAGATGGGCATGCAAATACCTATGAAAAGCATTAGGGTTCCGATATATGGGGCCTCGAGGAACATAATCAGGGTCTTGATGGGTTGATGTCTTGTTTCTAACTTTAGCCGCTTCTCTTATCGAAGACCTTGCTCTACCCAAACTTGCTTCTAATTTTTCAAGGTGGCTGCTGCTGCTTATGAATAGTGTTTTATTAGGTCCTTCTACTTGCTGGGTTATCGTCTCTTGCACTTCATCATCAACCCCCTAATTAATTACCAAAAACCAAATTAATTAAGAAAAAATCAACATCCAGAGAGAGAGAGAGAGAGAGAGAGAGATGAATGTTTCTCACAAATATCTGAGGGGCAGGAGCTTGGGCACCTCTTTGATAATTTGCGAAAGTGGAAACTGGAGCTTGTGATGGTTGAGGCTGCCATATTTCTTCTGTAGATGAAGGAACAGAGTAGTTGCTTCTACTATTACTAGTATCATTACTGGCTACTGGATTCCATGTAGTCTCCCATGATGACGACGAGAATGATGATGAAGAGCTGAAGGCAGTTGGCTGTACGAGAAAGATTACCAACAAAACCACCAAAGGGATTACAAGCAATCCCACTAAAATTGAGGATATGGAAAAGACTTGTGTCTTTCTGGTAGGCCTCATCCTCCGGTATCTACTTTCGTTGATGCTCCATATCCAAAATACGCACCAACCTTTCTACAGTGGATACTGCGTATATCCACTACTACAAGCTAGTTCCTTTTTTATTTTCTCTCTCTTTTTCAGTGAAGGATAGAAAAGGGGACTGAGGGAAGGGTAATATATTGGAATTTTGGAATCACCCTACAGCGTGAACTAGACAGTGACCTCTTCAGCAGTACTTGCTTATGTGTGGGTGTGGTTCGATTGAATTTTTTATTTCTTAAAATGCATGTGATCAGGTTATCCACAACCAAGTTTGCTTCTGTGTATCATTTGGCCGTCTGAATTCGGAGTCTTCGCTTGGATATTATCTTCTAGAATTTGCCTGGCTTTAAACATAACACTGTGATACCATTAAAATACAATCTAAAGGTTTAAATTTTGACATGCTGAAATATTTATGTGTTTCTTTTCTTTAATTTTTATATATATATTACTTTTTATTAGTATATGTGTATGTTTAACTTTTACATTTTATTTTAGGGTTTTTAACTGTCGAGGTTGTTGAACTTAACCTCGAGTTTTAATTGAATCCTGAAACTTTTTTTGAAGCAATTACATGCTTAACTCAACAAGTAATTGCAATTGAGTCTTACCATGATAGTGTGTCAATTTGGCTATCAAAATAAGGGCTAAAAGCATCATTTCCATAAGAAGAGTTTTCTAAGCTGATAATCAGCTCTCATTTTTATAGCCAAATTGACAGACTATCATGGTAGGACTCAATTGCAACTACTTGTCGAGTTAAAGCTTGTAATTGCCTTAAAAACATTTTTAGGACTCAATTGCAACTACTTGTCGAGTTAAAGCATGTAGTTGCCTTAAAAACATTTTTAGGACTCAATTGAAACTCAAGGTAAAGTTAAACAGCCTCGACAATTAAAAACCCTTTATTTTAACCCTAAATTTAGAAAATTAGATATTAACTCAACACTTAAAGCATTCATGGGAAAAACCCATGGGTTTTTTTAGGATCAATTGAAGCCCGTTTTGGGTTTATATAAACATTTGAATTAATGGCGGCGATGATGTGTCAGCTAACTGTTTGAGTTAGATAGGTTGACTTTTCAGTTCCCATTTTACCCTCATTAATATCCATTTGTTTTTTATTTTTTTGAATTTACCAAAAGAAACATTTTCTCCATTTATTATGAAATTAATTGCAAAACAACCATTTGTCCCATTTGTCAACCCTTAATTATTGTATGATTTAAAACCCACTAATATTTTTCAGGCCAATAGTGATTATTTTGAACTTTTTTAATAATTGTAACATTTAAGGTTATACCTTCTCATTGATTTGAGCATATCTCAATTGGTAATTTGGATTTTTTTTTGGTTGTTAGATCTAAGTCCAAAGTGTTTGATTGCCATTAGATCTAGTCCACGTCTTTTTGCATTTTGATTCAAGTCCTTGGACTTTTATACTTCAATTTTTACACCAATTTTCCCTTTAAACTAAAAATGATTAATTTAAAAATAATGATTTCATGCATCTTTTTCCTACTCATTCAAATTTTGACTTCTAATTTTTTTTTTTTTCAGTCATAAAGCACCTACAACAATAAAAATAAACCATCAATAAACAATATATCTATCTATGAGGTAAAAACCCATTTAACGAATACACAATTTTTTCTTTAACTTGTCACCTAACCCAAAGGTAAAAACAAAGAACATGTTATATATTATGTTACTAACTGGTACAACACATAAGATAAAATTATGAAGGCATGCATATATGTAGATATATAAACTAACCTATCCTTACTGATAAGTTAACATAGAAAACACAAAAATCAACCTAATTACCCATATGCCATTACCTAATATTGAGGTACATTAAGCACAAAAAAATTGCTATCTATAACTAAGGTGCATATAGAAAAGTCATAAAATGTGTTACATACCTATAACTTATTAGGTAGATAAAAAAGAAAAAACCTTATAAAGCGTCATACCTATACCTTAGATACATAAAGAGGCAAAATAAGATAAGAAAGAAATACACCATGTGAGAGATCCACATGCTAAAGCTAAATACCCAAAACCCAAATCACCATACCAGTGGCAAACCTGTGCAGGTGTAAGGAGGTGCACCTGCACCTTTGGTTGCTGAAAAACTTCATAAGAGCTGCTAGAGTTGCATCTCTGCTCAGACCAGAGACGCACACAAGCTATTCGATGAAATGCACAAATGACTTGCGCTGCTGCACTGCTACCTTGCTTCGAGCGGGCTTCTGTTTTTTTTTTTTTTTTTTAACAAAGCCTAGCCAAAACAACGTTGTTTTGGACTAGGCACTACTACTTTTCTTTTAAAAAAACCTGGCCAAAATGACGTCATTTTGGACTAGGGTTTTTTTATTTTTATAAAATAAATTTTTTTATTTTTTTTTAAAAGAAAGGGGAAACAGCTGGGCCATTCGTGGGCTTCTAAAAGGGCTTATAATTCTTACCTAATTGGGTTTTAATTGGGACTTCTCTTTATTTTATTTTGGAATTCCTTATTTAAGTGGGATTGAGAATTCTCTTTGCAAAAAACCAATTTAATATCACCCAATTTCATCTAAGTGTATGTGCATCACAAGAATCCTGCGTTTTTTTTTTCCTTCTTGAGTACGTCAATCCAAAGTAAGTTAGATGCATATATTTTTTTCTTAAGCAAACTCCAATTTTGTTTATTCTTTTTTAAATAATGTTTTTTTTCTTATTTAGCTCTTTCTGTATTAGTAAGATCAGTAGCAAACTCGAGGAGAAAGAGGCTACGTGACATGCTATTGGAGGTATAATTAATTTTTATTTGTTTATTGAATTGATAATTTGATATTGATTTGTTTATTTAATTGATAAATTATAGTCAATTAGTCATAGTTATAGATATAAAACCTTTAAGAGAAAGAGTTCAAATCCTCCTTCAAATAATCCGTCTAGTTCCAACCCTCCTTCAAATAATCCGGCTAGTTCCAACCCTCCTTCAAATAATCAGGCTAGTTCACATCCTCCTTTGAATAATTCGGGTAGTCCAAAATGATCAGAGGTCACTGAGTTGGATGAAATATTGGCTAATCTTCTTGCATACCCTGGACTTAGACTTCCAATGACTTATTATAATCCCAATTTTCGAGAACAAATCCGAAGAGCCTATTTACAAAGGATATTTAGTTGTCTTTTTTTTTTTTTTTTTTTTTTTTTTGAGCTCTTAACTTTTAAAAATTGCACCTTCCCTGAAAAATTCATGAATCCACCGCTGTACCAAACCTTTACACCTTATGAAGAGGTAAAACCACCATGAGAGGAATCCTCACCATCTTCTATGCAAAGAACATGTATATGCATTGGTCAATGAGTTTAAAGCTCAACTTTTGATTTGAGCATTTGTCTACAATGTCCAAAAGTGCATTTCTCACATATGTAGTTGATGGCTTCTTTGTCATTGGAGGTTCAAAAGAGAATTTGATAAACTTAATCAAGTAAGAACACATAAAAGTCAACCCTTAAATGATCAATCACAAGAAATATGGAATCTTTAAATTGTTGTCATAGAAATCAGGCTATTACCTTATTTGTGTCCCTAAATTAAAACCATAACAAAATCTTGTAGTTATTGTCAACCAAATCAAATTCTTCCTCGTTTTAAAAACGAAAAAAATGAAAGTATACATCAGAAAATCTAAAAAGGGAATATAATCCTATGTGGTATAAAAGTCAAAGGACTTGTATCAACGACAAACAATATGTGGATGATAACGAAATTGTAGAGCACAAAATTGTAGCAAAATTGTGTAGTGGTAAGTGAGTATCGTTCCGCAGAGACTAAGACTAATTAACTGAGTATTGATTATGATTAATCCTAAACTTTATCTGGATGTTCGAATGGTGAGGCTTTGATTTGAATTACATAAGTAAATTAAAAGAACGAACTAACATAAACAATAATAAAATTCGGCAAACACTAATGGTATGAGCACTAGGGTTACAATTTCACCATAGCCAATTCTACCCTATTCCTGTAGCCAGTTAATCCTAATTATTATTCATGTTAATGGTAAATTTCCTTTAATTATTCAATATGACATGCCTGTCTATACCAAAAGTACTCCTACAACTGTCCCACTCTATGCCTAGAGGAAGAACTAAGAAGCATTAAGTTCTATGGAAATTTACGGAAACCACACAAGCCTTGATTAACCTTCCAGTTCACTCAAGTAACCTGTGATATCAATTACTAGAAACAAAATCTTAAGTTGGATATTCCTATCGTCAACTCAAGCATCAAATCAATTAAGTGGTGATCAAGCACTCAAAGCATTAAGAACAGTAAAAGATACTTAACATGGAAAATAATATCAAATTAACATAAACACATAAATAAGGTATTCATGGCTAGGCTACATCATAGCCCAAGCAAAAAGGAAATTAGAACATGATAAACTTATTGAGAATCACAGAGTGGTTGATGGTAGACATGAAGATGAACTCGAAAACTCCCAAAAAGCCCCAAGGTGGCAGGTGGCAGCAGGACTTCTCTTTGCAAGAATAGGGCATTTTCAAGTAGTAGTATGGATCCCCTCTATGAGGCCAGCCCTATGCTATTTATAATACACAAATCCTTAACCTAGTTACAATCAAATACTACCAAAAATGGGTTTCCCAATATCTTTCCCAATATCCATTTGATTGCTTCTCCAAATTCCACAAGGATTTGACCAAACTTCCTCCTTTAAGCTTTGACCGGTTGATTGCCTTCTAAGAAACATCTTCTTTGTCTCCAATTAATCCTTGTCGTACATCTTAATGGATTTTGAGTCTAGTTTGACAACTTTTCATCCAATTCCTCTAATTAGGGACCAACTACACAATTCTCACAAAATACATTAAACCCAACAATTTAATCCAAGAAAATCAATAAATAAATAAGCAAAGGAAGCATAAAATATATGTAAAATATGGACTTATCAGTCGACAAAACCCAACTCTTGGTTGAATTTTTAGATCTATATCAATTTTTCTCTTCTTTTGTTTCTCCCCATGTTGGTACTCTCTACACTATAGCTCATTCAAAATATATTGAAAT